AATCCATGGAAATCCTGAGTGTTACTGACCATGTTCACTAACCAGAAAAATTATCCAAAGCCACACCAGAAATCTCAACCAAGATTACTCAGATGAAAAAAAATTATTCACAGTTACAGGATGGTAAAGCTGACTTCAATGTCACTACTGACGACATTAAGACCACTCCTGGTCTTCCGTGGTTCCCGGATGGTCGGCGACTCCAGATCGAGGCCGAGGTCATCGAGAAAACTTCTGGAAAGAAAGAAAGTGCGATAGACAATGGAATTTACTTCGTCAAGTCTCCCTTCAGGATTGATCACAAAGCGACCACTGAGTTCTTCAAACCTGCGCTTCCTTTCCTAGTCAAGGTAGGGAAAGGCTCTTACAGTTCTTCAAAATATTACAAAAATTGAATTTTATGATGTACCAAACCTTGAACTTGATAAGTCTCAATGCTGTCACTCCGTCATGGACTAAAGCACATGTTCTTTGAGCCAACAAAGTATGTTTCAAAGATTATTTAAACATGAAACTATAGTTTTCACTTTTTGTCCGGCTTACTAAAGGAACACGCCAAAGCAGAGCAACCGTAGTCTGAACAAATAAAAATTCAGTTTTCATCATCCCATGTAATATTGTAACACCTGATAGAATATCGCGTTGAACATCTCTTACGGTTCTATGCTTTGTTGATATTTAAGAATAAGCTTAGGTGATATCTGCTATACATCCAAAGCACTACATAAGCTAAATCTAAACGAGCACAAAAAATTTCGTTTCATTTTAAAAACATAACCTCGATTTCCTGTCGACATTGACAGGTTGATCTGAAATACCCGGATAAAACGCCGGCTCGTGGAATTCCAATGTCCATTTCAGTAACCGGAACTACACATTCTGGGAGCAAAATCAACATCGGGAAGACGGCGAGTAAGAAAGATAACGTGAATTTTGAAGACACATCTGACAATCAGGGAAGAGCTAATTTCGTCATCGACGTACCAGGAAATGTCAGAAAAATGAACATTCGGGTGAGTATTTAATAAAAGCATGCAAGGTTTTATACTTCAATTTTATTTTGGCTTGACTACTTAGCAAACGAATGTAATAATCCGGTATTGGAAGAGATATCAACTATTATGCACACTGAGTTTGTTACAGTTGTAAACGTAAGCGCATCACTTGGTATCTTTTAATACAGGTGGGGACAGAGAAAGACGATTTGGATCACAATACTTTTGTTGAGTTTGATGTTCATGCCTACAAGTCCCCTTCAAGAACATTTTTGTATGTCAGAGCAATCAGGGTAAGTTTTCCTTTGTATTTGCGTTTTATGTCTTTCCTGGACCCTAATAGTTGTCCGATCTTGTTCATTCAATGAGCATTTTGATGCTCGCCCATCTGTCTCATGATCCCGGCTCTCTATTGCTATTACAAAAACCATGAAAGTTCTTTAACAACTTTTGGGTTGGAGACAGAGTTTCCTTTAAATATGGGAGTTAAATTGCTGTTTGTATGTTTATCTAGTTTCTTTATCTTTGAATCGTAACGAATAAGGAACCTTTTTTGTAATTTGCTGGAGCACTCTCACGTATTTCAAGATTGTACTTACAATTTGATTTCCACTGCAATATGTCATTTTTCCACCCTAGGAAAAGCAGTATTTTAATTGTGATGTGTTTGTTAACAAGAACGCCTCCAAGATTACTTTCATGGTAAGCGCATGGTTGCTTTATGGAACTCTTCTTCATAAGCTAGATAGATCAGATATCAATAGTCAGTTCATCACAAGCATGCAATCAACAAAGATCTGAGCCCTTAAAGATGAATCGAACTTATAACACTAGAAGTGGGGAACTCTACAATTGAGCAACAGAATAATTGTGGCAATAGGCCCATATTACTGGTTAATGCATTTTACCTTAAGTTGATATCAGCGCCAAACGCGAAAAACGTCCTCAAGGGGTGAGAAGAAAGAAAGATAGTTAAAATAAGTTAAAAGAAAGGATCATTCTTCCTTATACACTCTCAATTACATTTGGAAATAATTCCATAACGAGGACATAAATATTTTCGTTGATAAGTTGTACAAAGAGGCATCGCAGTATGCTAACATTGCACTTGTTTCACGTCAACTTAATGTGTTGCAGTTTGATTTTCATGTAACTCTCCCACCCCTATCTCATTTCAAACAATTTTTTTTTCATCAGGTAATTACGCGCGGTAGGATACTTCGCCAATGGGTCAAAGTCCAAAGGGTAGGGGTGATATCCAGCTTCCGGTTTAAGATTCTTCCAGAAATGTCTCCATCATCACGTCTAATGGTCTTCTTCATCGGAGAGAACGGTGAAGTTGTTACAGACAGCGTATTACTTGAAATTGACGATGGACTACCAAATAAGGTAGATCATATTTTTATGAGAGGGGTCAAAAACCATTTCAAAGATACCTTCGTGACAAAATAAGGGGACAAGCGTGCATGGGACATATTTTACATGAACTTTATGATTTAGGATGCTTTACACCTCCAATAGCATAGAGATAAGAAGTGCCAGGTCTTTATAGCCAAGATGTTTTATAATACTGGACTTTGCTACATGGACGCTTTGGTTACTCTTCTAATCAGGCGAGACTTCTGAGTACACTAGAAATCATGCAAGTTTCATCACTGACATAGATTTGGTGCGTCTAGCGATACAAACATTTAATAACAGCCGAGCTGATAACATAAATTGGCCACCGTAAAGAGTTCAAAAGCTGACGTTTTGAGCGTTAGCCCTTCGTCAGAGCGAAGACGAAGAGCTAGCGCTCGAAACGTCAGCTTTGAAACTCTTTGCGGTGGCCAATTTATGTTATCAACTCATTTGATAATACCAAATTACCCTGTTATACTCTTCCACCGATGCAACACCTTAGTTTCTTTAGAAACTTACCCCCTTTATTCAATGACAGCCTATATTTAGCAATCGAATAACGCTGTCACTTCAGATCAGAAAACCCGTTTATGAAAACCACACTAGGAGTGTAGGCCGGGGAGGGGAGGGGGGCAAAGTAGCGTCTCACTGGCCTTCAGGGTAATACTAGTTTAAGCATTGAAAGAGAGAATAAAATGAGTTCACTTTATTCTCTCTTGAACAATAATTCATCAGTTTATCACATGTAATTACCCCCTTGAGCTGCGCCCTTTATACTTCGAAAAAATATTGTTCTCAGAATTAATTTATGATATTGCGTTTACTTGCTCTTGTATTTGGCCACTGATATTGTGAGCCTCTTTCCGCAGGTTGAGTTCCACGATGAATCACCGGGTAAACAAATTGATCCAGGTGTTCCTTACAAGATCCAGTTATCGGCGACTCCTGGGACGAGAGTCGCACTTTTAGCTGTTGACAAAAGTGTCTACATCCTGAGAAACCGAGAAAAGCTCAACAAGAAAAAGGTAGGGAAGAAGCACTAAAACAATTTTGTTGTTTGTAATGGGTCCACGTTCATAAATGGTTGCAAGAGACTAATATATTTAATAGTGAATGATCAAAAGTTGTTACCAGAATAACTGCAGCAAAAATGAACGCAAACAAACAAATAACGAACTGAAATGCGTTAGTCCATTGTTTGTTGTTCTACACTCATGCAGTTTTGTAAGCTATTTTGCTGTGGAGGCTTAGAAGGGGTGATGTTGGAGCAGAAAAATTTTCATCTAAGTGAATTCAAACCAAACATGTTTGCCAAGGTGATGTTCGGGAGCGGGCCGTAAAGCTTAAGAGCTTTATTATATATTTTATGACTCTGTCTTAGAGAGGGCTTAGAGTGGAGTAGGAAGAGCAAGTTTTGTATGGTTGAGATGCCTGCAAACTCTCGACGTTTCATGTACTTTTAGGTGTTAAATACCATGGAGTCCCTCGACCTGGGATGTGGCGTAGGATCTGGTAGCGATAGCCAGGATGTATTCTATGTAAGTGGAACAATTTATCAATAATTTTGAACGTTTCTCTTACGCAGGATTTCATAATTAAATATTTGTTGAACACTTTGAGGAGATTCACAACGGGGTTGGCCGCTAGCCGTAATACGGCCAAAAAATTTAGTTGTCAGGCATTAAACTTGACAAATTCTAACAGATAGTCGTTCAAAAAATTAACCGTTAAAAAATTTTTGGTCTCAAAAATGGAATTATATTAACATTTAGCCATAAAATAGCCAAAATTTTAATTTTTAAAATTTTTTAGAGCAGGTGCAAACCGTTGACTGCTTTTGCGATTGCACCTGGACTCTTTGCGTTTTGCAAATTATTACTGAAAAGCCCCCGCAGAGTAGAAAGGGGATCCATTGAATTTTCTCTTCCGTGAACGACTCCGATTTACAATAAAGAATTTTTGCAACTGCTTTAGTAAGGCCCCCGTAACACATTATGCGGACAAAGTAATTTCTCTCAAAACCACTTTGCCTCGAACGCAAAGACGACATTTATATAACTTGGATCTCGTAGAATGTTAAGCACTTTGGAGGTTTCGAAAGAATTCCACTGGTGAACATTATCTCACCATAAAGGATTATGTACGTTGCTCAATGCATTCTAATATTTTAATAGCTCAAAAAATCTTTAATTACAGAAAAGTGGAACTGTTGTAATCACAAACACAAACATTGCAAGCAGAGGACGTTCTGGTATGCCAAGAACCTTTCCGTATGTAGACATGTAATACGTGCCCTTTTAATTTCCCAAAATAACTTGATGATATACATTAAACCATAAAGAACCGCTTTTAATTATGCATTAGAAGTAGTAAATACTGAAATTTTGTGATATATTAAATGTACGCTTGCACCTTTGCACATCTTCTCAACTTCTATTCCATATCAGTTCACAAGTCATTTCCCCTTGGCTAAGAGAAAAGGGAAAAATCCCTTTAACTCATTGACGACAATGTTAATGGAAATAATAATCATAATTAGGAAGGTGATAGAGATATAAAGGTAATAATAATGATACTAATCATAGTTCGTTTTCATTTCCTTTTTAGAATTTTCCTGTCCTCAACCAAAAAGCAAACGGGAAAGGCGGTCAACCACAGGTAAAGAAGATTTAAAGAAGTTTAATATTCTTCTTAGCCTGTATCATCTCTTCGGTTTTTCTTTATAACGACAATCAATTGAAACGCGCTTAACGAGCTTCGTAAATACCTTGGTAGACATAAGTATCACAGATCGGAGACCCGCCTTTCTTCTTTTTTTCCTGACTGTTCTTGAAAGACAGACATTTATGCACCCCTGGAATATTTATTGCTACACTTGAATAACTTCTTTCTAACAGGTTTTTCGCGGTTTAAAAACTGCGAATGACAGACATGAAAAGACTTGCTAGGTTTTAGGGCTATTGACGTCATTACGCCCTAGAAGAGCTTGAAGAAAGGGTGATAATGTTAAGGTTGGGATGTGAGTGATAGCGCACGAACCTGTCAATGTCGCAATGTCTTTTCTTCTTTAGATCTGACTCAGTGCTGTAAAAGAGGTCAGATACCCACAAGAGCGACCTGTATGCTACGAGCCAAGTATTTTTTTGCTAGTGCCAGCAAAGATTGCAGAGAAGAATTTCTCCAGTGCTGCTTTAATTTTACTGGGGAAAAAGGTAAAACTGTTTACATAAGCAATTGTTCAGTAAGGATGCTTTTTAATCCTCAATAGAATAAATACCGCCTTTGATCAGAAATGCCCAGTTTTTCGGTCATGTGCTTCATTGCACACGCTAATCGAAGTAGTTTGGCTCAAGAAGTACCAACATTCTTCCATACTTTTTTTATTGTCGTGCATACCTGGGCAGTTCTCACTTACGATAAACAGCTTTAGTCCTAATCTCACGCTGTGTTCAGACGTATCCGATGCAATCTCCAACGCAACAAAGTTGAGTAAAAAACCCAGATTATTGTTAGTTAATATTAAGTATTGAAGTATTCATTCTCGTCTAGCGACTTAACACTTCTGGTGTGGACCACGAGGTTTCGATTGTATACTGGCTCAACTGAGTACGCGTCATCCCACAAGCAGGATGCCCTACTATGGTCGGCCAGTATTTATCAGCTGTAATTGACGCATTTGGAAGATATTTTCCCTCAGCAGTGCGCTGTCCTACAGTTCTCCTGTTCTTTTTTTTCTTGATCGTGGATATCGTCCTTGCTTATCGGATATCTGCTCTATTGTCCTTGTTCAAGTTGTTGAGATCTCTTTTCAAACGCCTCTTTTTCCCGGCATGCGTTGAAAAGAGGAACACGATCAATAAACTTTACCACAGCTGTTGAACACTAGACAATTACACCGGTGCATAATGCTTTTGGAGGCGGCCCACAGTCAAACGATCTAATTGCCTAGAAAGATATTAGCAGTGTGAAGCCATAACGTCTCTATCACATTTTAAGTGATTACATCATGAAACATACAATGAAACTTCTTAGTGTATTCACGACAGTGAATAACCACAAGCTTCGTTATTCTTAAGCAGTCTTCATTACTGTGAAGATCGCTTCTTTATTCATTTCTTCATCCGCATTTCACATACATGATTTTCATATATTTATAGTCATTGATTCACCACTTCACGGGTCTATTACGAATCAACATAATGACCAGCTCCAAGTTGGCATGTCAGCTCGTTTGGTAGAGCACTGCAGAGGTCATGAGTTCAAATCCCGTACAGGCCTGAATTTTTTTCGAGCCCTACTTTTACTACTGCTTCAGTATTGTTCTTCAATGCGAAGGTCGCGTTCACATTCTTTACTTTTGTCGATTTGTTTACCAGACCCTAGAAAGACTGAAGTAAAAGTTCGTGCAAGATCATTTAGACAGTCAGACGATGAATTTGAAGATGAAGAAATCAGTCAGGGGCAAATAAGACAATATTTTCCTGAAACTTGGATATTCATGGACGATGTTGTTGGGTACGTGAATTCATTTCTTGATAATATATCTTGACTTATAACGCTAATGTATAACGTAGATTGAATAAGCACCCGCTCACTGAAAGGTGGGGCGCTTATGGAGAGAGGGTGCTTGATTAAGGGGGAGGGGGGGCTTTATCACTCACTAGTACTGATGCCCTGATTCCACTGTCGTTGAGGTTTAAAAAGTTGTAAATAAAGTGGAAATTAAAATTAAAAGGTTTTCCTTGTATCCCCACTATTTAAGATAGTGAGGGAGGAGGGGGCACTTTTTCTAGGAGAGGGGGCGCTTGTTTTACATCATGGCTTGGGGGTGGGCGCTTATTGGGGGGGGGGGGGGGGAGCTTATTCGAGGAAATACGGTATAAATATTCTATAGTAAAAATGATGCAAGGTTTGTTTCTATTTCAATTTAAGCTGGAATCGAAGACATCCGTTTGCTTAGTAGAACTTATGAGAAAAATTTAGTGACTATATTTCCTGGGATTAACGCGAAGTGAAAGTGAACAAAGCGAATGTCAGAATTGAAGTGAAGATGGGTTAATTCATTCTCTGAGTCATTTTACCTTGAGCATGACTTCTGGTGGGGTTATTGATTTATTATTGATTTATCAGTCTCTGCTAACGACAACTCTCTTATCCAGGACAACCTTTACCCGGATGATCAGTTTCCATGATCAGATAAATATGTAATAGCACCCTGTGTTCGTCAGGGAAACATAACGTTGATTTTCCTTTTTTTTAAAGTGTTTTCCTTGCTTCTTCCTCGTTGAACTTGCCAGAATAACCATTCTCTTTTCTCATAGCCCAAACGGGAAATTTCATCTGGATACAAACCTACCAGATACCATCACCACCTGGGTTGTTCAAGCTGTTGGAATTTCAAACCAGACAGGGTTAGGAGTTGCTCGTCCATTGAACATCCAAGCTTTTAAGAATTTCTTCGTTTCCCTTCGTCTTCCATATTCTGTTCAGCGAGGAGAGCAGATCTCTGTGATTGCTACAGTCTTTAACTACGGGGACATGGAATTTAGGGTGAGAATGTGTTAGCTTGCCAATGACCTCTCAACTAAATTAAGAGAACTAACGTGCCTCCTTCCTAAAATATTAACATTTTACATAATTGTTGAATCGGGAGGTAAGTTCCCTTTTTCTGATGATAGCATAATGCCTCTGGGTTCGATAACTGTTCGACTTCGTGAAGATTCTCTTTTCAAATCCTCTTGTAAAATATTCATGTGATTTTTTAGTTCCTTGTCGTTAAAAAGTTCTTCTTGAGCTTGGGACCAAAATTTATGAAAGGAAATTGTAATTATGAACAAAACACCTGGACTTGTGCTGCGTTTCAGTTTTAATTTGCTTTTATGGTTTTACGAATAATAGGAGCTAGCAATGGAGGAAATGTTATTTTTAAGCTGAAACAGCCTCTAAGGGAATTATACGCTTACACTATGAAAAGCGTGCCTCGCGACTCGAGGAGGGCGCTGATACAAGGGCTTAGACAGAGATTTAGACATAGGGACGAACGGAAGTATGGATGGATAAAGAAGTTAAGGATGGTTAAGGTATACGAAATTGGAGAAAATCAAATAAAAAAATCAAAGAAATTTCAAAACAGAAGCGGGAATCTTCCATTACTCATGCGAATTGAACATTAGAGGAAAAAGACTTCTTTTAAAGCGAAAGAAAGAATGAATAGAGAACTTTTTTAAGGTGAGATGGCGAGTTTATTCTATGTGTCGACCTTATTATCTTATAGGTTAAAGTAAAGTTAGAAGAAAGCAAGGAGTTCTGTACCAATGCTCCCACAGGCCAAAAGTCAGCGGTACTAAACCTGAATGTAAAGGAAAACGATGCAGGATCTGTTACATTTCCAATAATACCCATCAAACTTGGAAAAGTGTCCATCAAAGTGATCGCCACAGCAGAAATTCTTGATGATGGACTATTTTTGGGTGAAATAATCGGCCCGACAGCCTTCGACACGGTGGTTCGCAGCATTCTTGTAGTGGTAAGGCCATTAGAGGTCTATTGTACGTTTGATGATTGCCTATGGATGACAGGGTTGTGCAGGATGTTGGAGACATGTTGCCAAGTTATTCTTTTTACTTATTTCTTCGCAGCCAGAAGGAGTTGAACGACGTATAACTCACTCATTTCTTCTTGATCCGCAAGGTATTCATTGTGAGGATTTATGAAATTCAACGAAGAAAGTGCATGCAGTTATTATGCTGACCTGATGACGGTATACTGACTATATGATATGCGGAATAATTACACAAAAACGGACAAACGGATTGACAGGGTGAAAAAATATCGGCATTAATTGTTCCATGCGCGATGTGAGTGTATCGGTAACGAGAGAACAATAGCGAGTGATAATAACAAGTGCACCATACAGAATCGTCTTATCTTCTAGCAAACCTGTTAAGGCCTGATAACTGGAAATACGCATCGTTAAACTAGTTTAGAGAGGTAGTTGATACGGTTGATGAAACATGAAAGGGTCAGAATGGGTACAAATCAGATGGTTTGTCCCGATTCCGTTAATTCAATGTACCTTTATTTAAGGCGACAAGTTTACCTGACTACCTATGCGTTTTTTACAGGAGTGTTGCGCGACGAAGCACCAGGCAAAGTCAATACTTCTGCTCCTTCAACAGGGATAAAACATGATCGTAAGTAAAGTTATAGAACTCCGATGAGGTACCAATGTTTCATTCTATTTACACTAACCTTTCATTTATATGTAATGGACTATTTAAGCTTTATATCACAAGGGAACATTGCTTATTTTAAATGTCTTGAGCAGCAAATGTAAGAGTCCTTGATGTATCCTCAATCTATGCTCAGTGCTGCTTTAACTGTTTGTGGATTTCTTTGCGCTCTTCCACTCAAGTTGACTTAACCATATCAAAGCTGATCATATTTAGCCTGAAATATTATTTACAACAGTTATATCAACTATTTTTTTTCAAATTTTCCAGGAGTTGTCAACAACGGCATGCAGGTAGACAGTGTGTTTCTCAAAGTTCCTTCCCGGGCAATTCCAGGATCCCTAAAAGCTGTTTTGTCACTCACAGGTGCTAAGATACACGACGATGGTTCAACAAGTTACTGTATTTTAGCGTCATGTAGGCCTCGCGCATCATTTCTACTCCTAATTCCAGCTCATTCAATTAGTATTCTAGTATCAGTGATATCAATAGGCATGATAACAGTTGGCAGAGGCTATATTGTTAATCTGAAGTCTATGTCATTCCAACCTGTAATGGCATTTAGAAAAAAAACTTGTTGGTTGTGCTGTTCACAGACAATATCCAAAGTAAGAACTTTTTGTGGCTGTAACTTTAGATTTACAGTCAGGTACCATTTCATTAGTGTAGCAAAGGTTAGAAAGTAGAGCATACTCTATTGATTATCGGTATTGTTATTTGGCAATGCCTGACATGGTGCTCTGCATTCTCAATTTTTAAAGCTATGTTTGGTTGCATCTGGGCGTCGTACCTTACAGAGTCCACATGCAAACGTTTTCAATTATACATTGGCTTTACACCGCACTAAAAAAAATCCTTTGTCTTCTTTTCAAGGAAACCTCATTGGTCCGGTGGTGACAACTTTAATAACCGGTGGCTTGGAAAGCCTTCTTCACATGCCCATGGGTTGCGGAGAACAGACTATGATATTCCTGGCGCCCAATGTTTATGTAATGCAATATCTGTTAGAAACTAGACAGGTTACCGCTAACATAGAATCGAAGGCTTACAGGATGATACAATCAGGTGAGTAACTGGGGTTGACAGAGTCGACGCATTTTCCAATATAATTAGTGAAAGACTTATCTCAAAAATAAACTGCATGAAATAATTTTTTCTTCTAAAATAATATTTTCCAGGATACCAAAGGGCTCTTAATTACCGAAGAAAGGACAGGTCTTTCAGTGCATTTGGAGAGCATCGTCCTGGTAGCACTTGGTAAGTTGTGAAATACTCAGGAGAGCAAAACCCGTCTATAGGAAAGCACTTTGATGAACAGACAGGGCCGACAGAAAGGCAGACGGACGGGTAGGTAGGCAAACAGGTAGAAGGATGGAAAGAAAGACAACCAGACAAGGAGGAAAGACAGACAGACAGGCAGGTAGACAGACAAACAGGAAGGTAGGCAAACGTTTCGGCAGACAGATAGATAAACAGGCAGGCAGGCAAACGTTCCGGCAGATAGATGGACGGACAAACAGATAGACAAACAGGCAGGTAGGCAAACGTTCCGGTAGATAGATAGACGGACAGACACTGAGGCAGACAAACAGGCCAACCGAGTAGATTGGCAAACAGACAGACCAACATACTGATAGAAAAGAAACAGAAAATGTACGAGTGAATAAGACAAGCCAATAATCTTATGCCTTCGCTTAACAGGTTGACCGCTTTTGTGGCGAGGGTTCTCTGTGCGGCACAAAAGTTCGATGGTGTCGAAATCGACCAAGCTCTTATCTGTGATTCAATTAGTTGGCTTCTGGAAAACCAGCGGCAAGATGGAGCTTTCCCTGAGGTGAAGGATATCATTCACAAATCCATGATGGTGGGTTTTCTGTAAACTTTTATGATAGCCTTTGTCCTAAATATCTAAGACTATATGGTTCTTGTTGCTCGGATATGCCACATATTTTACTGATTCTTTTGCACTCAGGAGCAGCTGTATTGGTTCCAAACTGTTTAAACATGATACAATGAAACGGCGTGCTTTTTATGTTTCATACGATGGCTTTGGACGCGTTATGTGTAGCCACTAAAATAGTCTCCTTTTTCGGGTGTAAGCATTTCTTTAAAATTAAGGTCGGTAAGTAACTGCCAAATTTAATTTTAAATTCATTTTTGTAAGTTATTTTCTCATCATCATAATTCAATTCTCATTGTTTAGGGTGGTACTCATGGCGATGTGGCAATGACTGCTTTTGTTTCAGTGTCCCTCCTCGAGTGTTCATGTCATGGGAAGGTAAAAAAAATAAATTTCGTTTCCTGATTACATTTCCGTGATTATTATTTATTTAAATTATTTCTTCTTCCTAGAATAAGAGTCACAGGATTCAGAATGCTGTGGCTTTCATGGAATCAGAGTTGGATAGCATAAGTAAAGTTAACACTTTGGCGCTTACCACATACGCCTTAGCTTTAGCTGGCAGCAGGAAGAGCTCCAAAGCAAACGCAAAATTACTGCGGATGCAGACCTACAACAAAGGTACAAATAACTTTAGCTTTATGGAGCAAATTATGATTGAGGATAGATAGTTAATCAGAATTGCATTGGCTGCGCATCACCAAGCTTTTTTGATTGGTTCAGAAAACTCACACCATTTTCCTAACCTATCAGTTACAATACCAAAGCTAAGCGCGATTTCATCGCTTGCGTTTTACGGCTCTTCGGGAAGTTTGCTTGTAACAATTGCGTCTGTTCTGATTGCTCGTTAAAATCACTTTTAATTAGTTTTGCTTTTAGAACTTTGGTCGAAATGGGCTTTAATTAAGGACTATATTACCACGTTTTTATTAACAGGAAAGAGTAGACATACCTATACGTTGCTAGATGTTTCCCACCATTATTTTTTCTTCAAGTTTGCATGGCTTTGCGTGTCACGGCTTTCATCTAACAACACGGATAAAAAATGCTGAGGCCAGCGGCGAATTACGATAATTTGTGCCTACTGATCAGCAACCGTCGGGTTCCAAAATCGTTTTTACTGACTGGAATTGTTCAATTTCAGACGAATCAACTCGTTATTGGGACGCAGGAAACCAAGCTTTAAACGTGGAAACAACCGCTTATGCACTGCTGGCTCAGATGGCCGTTGGAAGACTGAAGTTGGCGGGACCCATTGTCACGTGGCTTACCAGTCAAAGAGATCCTCAGGGAGGCTTTGCATCAACACAGGTTTGTTTTAGAAACCCTTGCCACTTATTCGTTATTTTTGTTATCGAGTGTTTATGAATTTTTTTATTCACAACCGGATTCACGAGTTTTAGTTTATTAATGCTTCAAAGACTTTTCCATCGTTTCGCGGACAGTATTCTTGAAGTTTTTGACTAAAAGGATTGATCCTGAGATCATGCCTATAAAGATTTATACCTGTAGGTTACGATCTTAATGGAACGATATGGTACAATATTTAACAATTATTCACCGAAGTGGAGGTGGCTCGTTTATCATCCACCACTTCCACCGACATTAAGGTTAATAATTATTTTCGTATATACCACACAGTTACCTAAAAAAGTTTATTTCTTTCCATATACTCATAATGGTCGAAAATTAAATTCTTGACGCGCAATTTTGTCTCATCACTTATAATATTTGATATTCACTGATGAACTAGCCAATCAGCGCGCTAAGAGCACTTTTCACTCATGTGGTATATACAATATTATGCGAAAGAAGACAAAAATTGCGAAGACACCTGAGTTAAACGGAGTCTTTCCTTTTGAAATAATTTCTTTTTTAAGCATTCTTCTTTCTCGTGTGAATTTTTATATTAATGAATTATCACACTCGAGGAGTGTAGAAAGGAAATGCACATCACTCCTTTAATACTTAATAATTATTGATCATATATCCTGGTACCCTTTTTAAGGACACTTGTGTTGCTCTGCAAGCGTTATCACAGTACAGCGAAAAAACTGCAGGGGCAAGCCTTGATTTGCGAGTGTCTATATCCTCTGAGAAGGATGCCAGCTGGAAAAGAAATTATCATATTGATCCAGACAACGCCCTGATACTCAGACAGGAGGAGGTGAGTTTGAGCTCAATTACGCAGACTGAATTGAAATGCAATTTAGTACTTTGTCTTTCGTCACGATTTCACGACAGTTTTTTAAAACCTCCTCAGTATGTAACTTGTACTCCTACTAAAGCGACTTTGGGATTTCAATAAGTGCAACGCAGAACGCAACAACGTTAGCAACCCATTGAGGATAGGTACATGTGACAGCTCGAGGGGCTTACGCTGGAAATGTCAGCTTTAGAAACACTTTACGGTGGTCAATTTACATCGTCACATCAGTTGATAAAGCTAAATTATCTTGAAATAGCCAGCACCGACGCAGCGCCGCAGTTTTTTTACAAATTTACCCCTTTGTTCAGTTTCTAAACTAAAACTAGTACTTTAGAGAAAGCTTTTGCCGCTAAGTCTTTTTCACGGCTGGATGTACATTCGCGTAAAATTGATTGACATCAAGTTTTTTTTCAACAGGTCACTCATTTACTAGGTGGAGAAGTGTTCATCGACTCGTTAGGAACTGGAGTGGGTCAACTTCAGGTGAAATGAGAAATACTTTTCATACTCCTACCAATCAAACATTTGTTAGAGCGTATTTCGACATAGGATCAAAAATCAAACCAAGGTAATCACGAAATAGAAGATTATGAGGAGCAAATGTCGTATTGAATTCATAATAAATACGTGCAAACGGCTCAGGCGCGAGAAAGGGTGATTGAGTCGTGATTGGTTTCAGTTTTCCATCTAGAGGCTGAGAAGGGGGTGGAAGCTTTCAGTAGAACAATCACTGAGCGAGGTAAAGAAAAACCAACGCAGTCCAAGGTTATGCTGGACGCTGCGTTAAAAAACTTCGCTTAACTGAGATAACAACTTATAGCAATACCATAAAGTTGTAAAATCATGGTTTATCTGCCCTACACAGAAGCTTGCCATTTTAAAAAAAACTAAATTAGATTTCCTTGCAGATTGAAGTGCGCCACAACGTTCCTTCGCCTAAAAACGAAACTTGCTCGTTTGCTCTGAAGATTGAAGTAAGAGAGGAATTTAGAGAGGACAGTGATAAGGGCGTGCCAATTGCTGGACGCTCAAGGCAGAGAAGAGATGACGATATAAGAGAAAGAAAAGCCAAGAAATGCAGAGGAAATAAGAGGAAGAAAGCGTGCAAAAAGAGGAAGAAGAATAAAAAACATCATAAAAAACCAAAAACAGAGGCCAAACCGCCAGATACATTGCACCTCAGGGTCTGTGCAAAGTAGGTTGTGTGCTTTTATTTACACTTCGTTATCAAAACTCTGACAAGAGGTTCATCTCCGTTAGACACATCCTTTATCGCTTTGCGCGGGAGCTTCCTATTTGATAATCTTGCTGATTACTGTACACCAGCCCTTTCCTATTTAACATGTATGTGCGTAGTCCACAGATTGAATTTTGTTGTACTTTATTCACTTACTAACTGATGTCATCATAGATATCTGAAGGCCGGTAAATCTGGAATGACGATAATGGATATTGGTATTTTCTCTGGTTTTACTCCAGATAAAGATTCACTTGTCGAGGTAAATCGAAAAAAATTTCTCTTTGATTGCGGAACTTCAGTTCCTTTGTCTTGCTCAGCGTTCAAATTTCAGGCATGCGCGAGGAGATCAATTTTGGCCGGCCGCACGCTATTTCCCGCGCAAAATTTTAAAAGAAAGTGTAAGAAACAACTGCTGTCATGCAAAATATGCGAAGAAATTGAAACTTGTACAGAACTCCGTCAAGGAAATAAAAGTTGGGAATAGGAAAGGTCTCGACTTTCGAACTCAAATATTTTTAAGTTGACCTACCCATTTTTCTTTCGAGCTGTATTATAAAAGCTATCACATGATTTAGTGGTTTGTGTAGTTGCCCTTATGAGACGATTTGGTTCTAATTGCCTGAGAACACACCACCAAGCTATTACAAGGTTTGCACATGCGCAGACGTTCGATTGCTGAGTGCTTTGGCAAACTTACTAATTTATGTTTACGTTGCGGGAGGACCAGCAGCCTTACGCCTTGCACGCTGCACTTAGGATTAAAAGGTCCAATATCAAATGCTGTGGCGTTACAGGTGGTACACCAGCATCTCAGCCAGCAGGTAGAACTATACCCTTAGCCGCCTTAAGCTACAGATATCGAGATAAGCACCAGCAGATTTGAATTAGTCCGATTGCTTCTAAGTCTAACCTTTACTGTAGACCTAAATCTTATTTCTCGTGTTTTGCAGCTTATGAAAAACGTCCGGCCAACCGCGGAACGCTTTGAATTTTCTGACAGATCTGTGATATTATATGTCAGCGAGGTATTTGAAGTAACTCATTCGTTTGCTATGTTGACCTGTTACCAAATATTTAGTAAGTCAGCGAGGTTTTGAAAAGCAACTCTTAAGTCTGCTAGCTGTGACGTTTTTCAAAAAAGTTTATGGGTCGTTAAGTTGTGCAACAGATCAAAATTCATTTGCTGAAATATTTTGATAAATGTAGCGCTCGTTTAATATAACTTGGGAGGGACTCTCACCAAACCCTTGATTCTTGTCGCAAAAACTTATCACTGTTCTCTTTAATAATTTTTATACTGTGTTCTTAAAAGTATATTTTTATTACCGTATATCAGTTTTTTGAAGGAAATCACATTTTCTAGGAAAAAAACATTTTCTTCAATCATGAATTATTTTAGCTGCATACTCTAAACTCGAGTTTTGTTTATTTTGAAATCCTTGGTTTCCCCTCAGTTTATTGTAATCAAAGAAAACGAAAGTGTGAAATGGGTTGGTAAACTGACGGAAAGCTCTTTAATTTGTGGTATTTAATTTTAGTAACTTACATAAAAGAATGTTTATCCTCGTTTGCGTTTTTCATAGATTTCTAGTATCGATGAATTTTGTGCCACATTTACTGTGAAAAGAGAGTTTGATGTGGGAACAGTCCAACCAGTTCCTGTTAAAGTCTATGATTATTACAAACCAGGTGAATAAAAAGATAAAGGATGTAGTCAGTATTTTCCACAATAACTCAAGCGAGTTTTGAAATTCGCACGATCTGAATACGCTATATCTTGCTGGAGTCAACTGACTATGATCAATAACGTTACCTTCGCGCACTTTTGATGCTTTCAAGAAACAAAAAAATTAATTGAATGAAAATACCGTCGCTTGGACAATCACAAAGTTAATTATACTAAAACAGCTATTCTCGCCCACGAAAAATACCGCTGGTAACTTTGCATTTGGTCAGTAAGAAAATGTCTGTCAAGTTCATTTATAATTTTTAATTGCATTGGTTTGTGTCTTGTAATAGATGAATCCTGTACAGAATTATATACACCCTCGACGAGAAGCGCATTGCTGGGAGGCATTTGTCAAGATGGTTATTGTAAATGCTCTCAAGGTATCGTCAACCGGCACAATCATTGCTATGGCATAATGTATTATGTTTTTACATTTATCAAACTTTAAGAGGAGTACTTACCTAAACTACTTATAACATCCTTCTGCTGTATACCCTAATAGTATCCCTGGTAGCGGGGGTTAATCTCTTTGCTCATGTATTTTGAACTGTAACTCACAAGCTGCAAAAGCAACCCTTCCACCTCAAAGCCAAAGTTTTCTTGCGAATCGTGATAGAGGCCTTGAAGAAGAAGATGTAACTTTTGGTTTCTAATTACACTGGCTTTTATTGGAAACTCGAATAAGGGTCATTGTTCGGTTTTTGGGAGATTATTTCGAATAAGATTCAGGACAAAGACATTCTGCACCCGAAACCTCACTTAGTCTTGTGTTCTGGTCTTTGTTTTCTGATGTCACCAACTTGGCGGCTTGGTTTTTCAATAATGCTTCTTTTTTGCCAGAGACTTCGTGTCACCTCCACTGTCGCCTTAGCGCATTTTGATTTATGGCTGCATCATATCAATTGTACCATGTCACCATTTCATTAGTACTGAGAGAGAGGGTCACTTTAGGGATTCTTTGTTTGCTTTTGCTTAAAAAATAGCTGCGAAATTATATATTTCGCGTTTGCGCGTTTATTAAAACAGCACAAAAAGATTGAGTGCATTTTTTTGCTGTTATTCTTCTTCAGATGACTGCTTGTCTTGTGTCCAGCGTGAATTCAAAGTTGAGGAGCTAAAGAAAAAAGCGTGCCTCGAATTTGACTTTGGTGAGATACTTGTAATGATAACGCAATTTTCTGTCTTAAAAAAAGGTGAAGAACGATGTGAGCATGCCCAGAAGTCACAATATAAAACGTCAATAATACAAGTGTAGCACCCTAACATCAGTATGCATATTCTCCATACTGTTCGCTATACATTTCCTAAGGTGCTGACAGGGAGAATTTGTTCAACAATCAAGAGCTTCCTTAGTTGCTGATCATTTTCTTTGCTCTCGTGACTTTAATGTTTGATTCAGGGATGATATTGTCAGGAGAAATTAGCTACTAATCAACCTTAGCGGTCAAAGGGTAACCAGCTGTTTCAAAAAATAATAATAACAAGTTATATAAAATAAATATTTGTATGTGTTTCCTGGATTTATTGCAGTGTTTCCTATACATTAGGAAACTCCGTGTTCCCTCTCTTTATAAGAGATTACACTTTACACTTTTACTAAGTTATTCTAGCTTAATCATCACAAAAATCATAACTTCCTCGATTGTGATTGGTTTAAAGAACTATTTTCCACTAACTCACCTGTCAAGTTGTTATCGGAGAGTTTATTATCGGACAGTTTGTTGTCGGACAGTTCAATAAGCCAACCATATTCAAAGTTGGGGTTAAAGTCAACCAATCACATTAAAAGTTGCAGTTTAAATCAACCAATTGTCATTCTTTTAATGCAAATTTTCCCTTTCTTTCATGACTTGGCTATTCCTGTTTCTCGGAAATTTTAATTTTTATGATTGATTGGTAAAAAGACTTTGTGTCGTCCAATTCGGTCCGTAATCATACTCGTGATAAACAAATCGGACTCCTGCTGCACGGTCGTTCGATGTTGTTATCACTTGTATGGTTACAGACCCAATCGGTGGACACCACTCATTCCTATAACCATCACTAATTTACGTTGTTGTAAATGTATTATTATTTCTATAGCTTTTATTGGCGAAGTGATCCTGTTGGATGAGGTGGACACGAGAAAGCAGTCCTGGATCACGTATGAAATGAGGATAGACCAGGTAATCAAGAAAACTAAAACAAACTTCGCACAAGGAGACTTCATTGAGTTCAAGAAAAGAGCAGGATGTGCATGTCCTAAGCTGGTAGAAAGGAAAAACTATATGATCATGGCAAACGAAGATGGACCATTCTTTGTTTTTGACTCGAAATCTTTTGTAATTCCTTGGGAGAAGAGACGAAAAAACAAGAATATGTTGGATGATCTTCGTGCAAGAATAGGATTAGATCCTAGATGTACATTGTAGAACTTAGTTTATCGTTTTTGTTTTGTACTGTTTTTTATACAAACTTTTTCAATGTTCATTTTTCAAATGTTAGAAAAGAAGAGAGAAAATGAAAAAGGGCAAATTATAGTTAGCTAATAAGATATCCTTTAAGTTAAATTACATTTTTTCATATAATAAAGCAAAACAATACAAATATTAGACTTAAATATGCTTGTTTTAGTCGTTTAGTTGTTACATTTTTGTTTTGCGAGGGAACTGATCTCGCAAGAGCTCTAAAAGATAATCCATTGACTTGAGGTACTCTATAATTTCATAGGATGTTCATGTTAGTTAAACAAGTAAAACAGTTACTGATGATCGTGTATGAAGCCCAAAAACAACGAAATGGGCTTGTCAATTGTGATTATGCAAAAAATCGGTCAGTTGGTACTATGCTTTCACGAGGTCAGAGTCGCGAAAGTCGAAGAAAACGTGCTTACGTGTCAAAGCCAGTTATTATAAATTATAATTTTTTTCAATTTGTCAAAGCTATTGGCACCTTTTTTTTTTCCCACAAAAAAATTATAATGATAAAAAACAACACACAACTAAAGCCTCTCTAATTCCTTCGTCAGCAGAAATTAGTCTTTAGAATGCGTTTTATTAAAGATTTGTTAAGTCTAACATCTGTCTTCGGACTTTTGGGAGCGCGTGAGTCTCAATTGTCTACGTTTCCAGAATAAAGACCGCTACGCAGAGTAGGACACGGCGAAGGCAACGGGATCGTGATGAATCAGAAGATTTTAAGGTAAAAAATGCAGTGCTCTTTGCACTCGGTTTTTGTGAAAAAATGCACCCGATTTCAGCCCATCAGACGCGCGTAATTTTTTCATCTGTATAAATAACCTTCCTAGCCTCACTTTTTAGCCAAAAATTCTTTTGTTTCTACTCTTTGAGTTGAAGTCGGAAACGCCAATTTAAATAATAGCAATTACGCACGTCATTTATGGAGAGGCCTAAACAAGGACGGAAAAATATGCAGTTTAAGAATGAAAAAATTTAATAACAAATAAAACATGTACAATGCGAGAATTTCCGGAGTTGAAGACAGAAAGATACGGCTGACGTGGTTACAAAAAGTCAAGCAGTCAGCTGCTTGTGATATATAACGAAATTTAATTTCCCCAAAAGATTCCCAGCATGATAAGAATTTGGAGTCAACAAGGAAGTAAACACTTTGACCGAATTCGTCCATTGTTTTTCACTTGTGCGCATAATAATGCATGACACTTTGACGCTGAAAGCCCGTGCAAAAAAATTGGGCCAATCAGACATGATCCATGCACGTGGGTCTTCGTGGCCTTTCGTGAAGAGTAGCGTAGTGTTAACAGTCATTCCAAGATTTAGAAGAAGAGCTCGAGATGTTGAGAGCAAACTTCGACAGAGGAAAATTATCAGTCTCTATGCACAATCATTCAACAGATAGGCATAGCGCGTTATATGTGAATGGTAGGAGACGACTCAGACACAGAAGGTTAGTAAGAAGTCACTTTTACAAGCAGTTTTAAGTTTAGCTTTACCACATGTAAATATGTGAAAATATGCGTCCTAATCTTCTTTGTAAACTTCATACCGCGTTGCTCTCAACAATTTCGACGTTCAACGCTCTAGTTGCCCATTGTAAAATTGTTTCTGTGGAGTTGAATACGCTATGTGTTTTTCGGGGATAGGGAATAAAATTTGTTGTAACTTAAACAAAACGTTTAATTAAGCAATCTAAGTATTTCTGCGTAAATGATGGTGCTTGTAACGACCACAACGCTGATTTTAGTTTGAATCCACCTGCTACATTGTGTTTGATAATTCAAAGAATTCTTGCACGGGAACATGTTAAATTTGGTTTATTAAGATTTAAAATACTTTCTTAACTTGACAAGGGTCGCTTCATTCTGAACAGCTCCGTTTGAAAGCGGATTCATCATATTAGATGTTCACTTCGGCTACAAGTGGAGCTAACTGATTTAACCAACATCAATCCAATGTAGAGCTTCAGTTCAAACTAAACCAGTTCAGTCCAGTCTGCTCCAAACCTGTGACATTCCATCCAGTCCACTCCGGTCCTTTTTAGTCCTTCCCAATCTGTCTGGTCCAATCCGGTTCCATATGGTGGGTTCCAACCCAATCCAGCTTCATGCAGTCCAGTCCATTTCAGTCCATTCAAGTAGAGAGCTGACGTCTGTCACCAGGTCCACTTGTATTAGGATGTGAAAGGCAGCGAAGAAGAGGGCTAACGCCCCCTTCTACTCTCCATTTCCATCGCATACGAGTAGACTGGAGACAAGTCAGTTAGAAGACGCTGATGGAAGGCTAAAAAAACCCGGTTTGTGAAATTCTTTGAGGTTTGGGAAGGAGGGGTGTAATATAGAGCTCTGGTTGAACCTTATCTCTAAATTCAAGCAGAAGTTGACAAACTTCTCATTCGGCGTAATCTTCCTTCGTCAACTTAGTTAGATTAGTTAGCGGGTCCCTGGGGCTGGTGCGGGTCCTCCCTCCAAAATTTCTTTTCTTTGGGTTTTAATTTAGGTATGTTTTTCACATCGCTCTCGCTCGGTCGGTTTTCGGCTTATTTTCGACTATTCTTCGATTTTTATTCGTTAATTCTTCGGTATCTTCGCTACTACTTCGGAGCACTTCTTCAGCAAGACGTCGACTTGGTTTCACTCCGGCTTTCATTGATTTACTCGCGTCTCCCCGCTTTGTTTGCTTCAAGTGCGGCCAATTCTTGTTCAAGGTGTCGCCTGATTACAGTGCAGCTGAGCACTTTAATTGAGTGAGACTGATCAAAAAATTTTCGGCCTGAAGGTTCAACCAGATACTAACATAGATTGTAGGAAACTGGAGGAATCAAGCCATTCAACTGTTAGAAGCAGGTTTTTTTTGCCTCTCCTGACATGTTTAGTGGTTTGACTCTAGTTACAGGAAGTCAGCTGATAGTGGAGGCTCACTACTTTGAGCGTAGATCAGTTCTTAGTACTGACAACTTGCTAGCGTGGGACTATGGGACAATGCACACATGGTAGTTTAGACCGTTTACAAATTGTAAGCGTAGGCAACCTTCGACTACAAACAACAAGGAGAAGGAACAAGCTTTGGAGAAGGAACGAGCATCAAATTACTGAAAAGCAAATAATATGCGAATCGAAGATCAAACTTCCAACATTGTTTCTTTTGTGTAAATTTTCTATATTTGTTCAGTCATTACTGTAACTGTGAGTATCTTTCGACATTCTCGCGCCAAACTGCCGTAAAGGAGTCTTGAAGGCTTGCACATATTTTGACAAAGCCTTTTGCATATAATGCACGGTGCATTCAATAATGGAGTTCGCCTTTTGTTGGGTTTAGGAAGAAGAGTTCTTAGAACAGAAAGCATATAGTGTAGAATAAATAACAGCTATTTCAAAGATCAACGTCCTTATGCTTGAAAAAGCATTGATGTTTGAAAAGTTATAAGTATATCTATAAGCACATAGCCCCATCCCCTCTCCCATGAAAACTGAAATAAAGATTTTCCCCACCCGATTGTCCTTATTGTCTATTAATCAGGGGGTCTGGACTGACTATAACACGAAAGCTTATCGACAAATTCGGAAATTTTCGGCTAGCGGCAGTTCATATCACTCGGCATTAATCGCGTTTGAATTTGAAGTCAAATTAATTCCTCATCGTTTTTCTCGTCCAGACCCTCTGACCACGTCTGAGGAGATCTTCACGGCGGAAGCACTTCCATAAGGCTGATTTTTGCTACGACTTAAGCTCAAGTCTTGGTTGACATGCGTGAATGTAGGCGGAGAACTTTTCCACGAACTTAATTTTGAGTTGCATAAGCCATTTTTATTTGAACGGGTAACGGCGTTTGCGTATGCCAACTTGAAATTGAGCTTGCGCCGTAGTGAAAACCGCCCATTATACCGCAGTCACGGAGGAGACGCAGTCATCTTTCAGCAATCCATACAAGGTAAGACAGAAGGTGAGTGAGTAGTTAGAGTTCGGCTTACGGTTCGGCTTTCGGCTCAGATTTCACATCGGTGTTGCATTCGAATGCTCGGGAATAGTTCGGATTTCCAATCGGAAGAAAGCTCCAAATGAGCATCAAGGCTTGGTAGCGACTCTTTAAGTCGTTTGCAAGCCGCTGAAGACAAAGGCATTAAAATACCGTCGGGGAGACCGAGAGTGTTCAAATGTTCGGGGTGTCGACATTTACTGACACAGGAACACTCGGAGTTTCTCTGGACGCCAAATTTTTCACAAATAGCTGCGCGTCCCTCCCTCCAAGGTGATGTGGATTAATTTAGGTCCTGTGGATTAATTTTAATTACCTATTATAGTATAAGAATGTAACATTGGATGACGAAAAAAAATAAATACTTATAAAAACCTAAGTGTCTCTGTGTGTTCTGAAGTAATATTATAGCACGCTATAACTCTTAGGAATAAGCAGCATAGGTTACTAACAAGTTTTAATTTCAGGTTTACTTTTCGTGTGAACTTAGCGTCGGACAAAAGTGCCACTTTCGGGGTACAATACTTGGTCATAAGAAGGCCCATTTTCGGGGGCATGTTAAGTTGCTCAGAGAAGGTTATTTCTCTTGCGGTATTTTGCGCCTTAATGCCAGGTTTTTCGGGAGGCATATGTGAAGATTTGACGTGTCCATTTTCGGGGACTGGCTCGTTGTCGAAACACTCTATGTTCATGCTCAGTATAAGCCCATTTTCGGGGGCTGTGAGCCACTGAACAGGTAAGTGAAGTTGTTTGGCAACGTAATACTAATCACATTTCGTCTAGTCAGGGAACTGCAGCTGTGATGTATGGAACTTTGACACGATGTGCTACCAGTTAAAGACGTTGTCCAAGGAGATAAGGTGATGAGGGGTAAGATGAGAAGAGGTAAAATAAGTATTTCTAAACACTTAAATTCCTTTTTTAATATTCCAGTTTGTACACCTCGTCAACTTCAGCCGCCTCCTCTGATTTACACGACAATGGTTGAATGCCGTCAGAAGATAGTGATTTTTCAATACATTTACACCATTCAACTAAGACGAGTTTATTCCTATTCATCTTCCTTTGATAATGGTTAAGACAGGTGCTAGGCAATAACACAGGAACAAAGTTAGCAACATACACCCCTTTGTTACATAACATGCGCTTTGAACTAACAGTTGCTTCAATCCCCAGTCGTAACAAACTGTTTTCCAGCTACAGATATCAGCCTTGGATCGTCATCTCACCAAAGTGTAAGTACCCTGTAATACGGCTTGCTTATTGAAAAGAATCTGTTGTACACAATCTGCTCGCTCTTGGCATAATTTGTATAGTTCAGATTGTAAAAAGTAACGGATCTGGACTAAAAAAATAATCGACAATTGATATCAACTGGTTTCTTTTTGTGAATGATTCTTTAAAGTATTTGTCTAGTTTTTTTAACAGTGACCGACTGCGCTAAGTGACCGTGCCTTGCCATGGAATATTTCTGACATATGAACAATTTGGAGAGATCGGTG